AAGGTGGGTCTATATTTGTTGATTCCAGAACAAAAACATACACAATAGCAAATTTTGAAGAAGTGTTTGGAGCATTTTACAATGATTACATCCAATTTTTGATGAGATTCATGACTGCATGACACTTTGATCCATCACTACAAACCAGAGAGAAAAGAACAGTCAAAGCAGTGGAAGCACATTGTCTTTTCCTGTTTCAAAAATTGAAGTCTATCTTATCTGCTGGTAAAGTCATGACTTTGGTGTTTTAAGATTTCAAGGAGATAATGTGTTCACTGCTAGTTGATGTAATTATGCATCAACTGGTAATGAATATTAATCCACCTAGTAAGTTAAGCTGCATGTAATACTAGAAAATTTCACAAGTGGAAGTAGCACCTTTCATTTTGGTCAGTTTAAAGTCAGTAGAATAATAATTGACTTGTTTACAAAAGAATGACCCTCTCCAGCTATAATTTGAGGGAGTGTTTGCAGGAAGCTTAGTAGTGTGTCATTGACATTGGAAAGTCAAGAAAGAATGATTATTTTGACAATAGAGAGGTAAAATTGCCCGATAATTGAATAACACAGTTTAAATTCATAACCCTATCAGGAAATTATTATCTTCTTTTAACAAGAAACTCATGTACATTTACAGAATTCTTTTTAAAGGTAATTAAAAGTAGGCTATATTTTAATTACCTTTAAAAATTGTAAAGAAAAAATTCTAAAAATCCAGGATGTAATATAATTGTATTTTTACAATGTACTTTTTTAAAGTATTACAGACAATACGAATACTTGTCTTCTCCTTTGTTCTCTTTCAACATCACAGGAACATGATCCACACAGTGGAGTCAACCTTTCTTTTTAGGCTACTGTGTGGATCATGTTCCTGTGAAATGAAAGAGGATGTAGAAGAAGACAGGAATTCGTATTCATATTGTATGTAATACTTTGTATTTTTACAATGTATTTTTTATAAAATATAAAATAAATACGAGATGTAACTATGAAATAACAAGACTGACACTGCTACAGAAGAAGCGCATGCGCCAAACGCCAGTGACCGACAGCTGTTTAGTGTGAAGCCTTCTCTTTCGAATGCAGTACCTCTCACTTCTGTAAACGAATCTGTATAGCCGTAGAGTTATTTTTTTGTTTCGCCGGAAAAATGTTAAGGTCAACAATAGAGCAATGAATTGTTGTGAAATTTCACATGAAACTTGGAAAAACCACTACTGAAACTTATAATTTATTGAAAGAAGTGTATGACAATGAATGTTTATCGCGTGCACGTGTTTTTGAGTTGTTTAAGCGTTTTCAAGATGGCTGAGAAGACGTTGAAGATGATTCACGCCCGGGTTGCCCTTCCGTGTCAAAAACGGATGGCAATATTGAAAAAATCGGTAATCTGGTTTGATCTGACCATCGGCTAAGTATTCGTGCGATTGACAAATGCGTATGGCAAATTTTACATAACAATTTTAACATGCAAAAAGTGTGTGCCAAAATGGTGCCTAAAAATCTTACATTTGAATAACAAGAAGCTCACACTTAGAATGCCATTGAAAATGACTCAAACTTATTAGAAAGGATAACATGTGATGAATTGTATATTTTTTACTTATGATCCTGAAACGAAGTGCTAATCCATGCGCTGGAAGAGCTCAACCTCACCGAGAGCCAAAAAAGCTCGAACAAGCAAATCAAAATTCAAAGCAATGATGATTGTTTTTTCGATATTCATGGGATTGTGTACCTTCACTGGGTTCCTGAAGGTCAAACTATTAACATACTACCTTCACATTCTTGCTGAACTCCATGAAAGAATAAGGAAAAAATGACCCGAATTGTGGAAGAACAAGTCATGGGTTCTCCATCAAGACAATGTGCTGGCTCATTCTGCATTGTCTGTCAAGAGGTTTCTAGCCAAGTACAGCATCCCAGTGTTAGACCATCTGTCTTATTTGCCTGATCTTGCGCGTGTGACTTCTGTTTCCTAAGGTGAAATCTGCATTAAAAGGAACAAGATTTGAGTCTGTTGAAGCTGTGAAAGAGAAAGCAGCACGTGTCCTGAAGGAGCTGACAGAAGAAGGCTTCCAGCACTGTTTTGAACAATGGAAGATTCACATGGAGCATTTTAGGGATAGAGGAGGGGTGTATATTGAAGGTGATAATAAGTAAATATGTATCCACACCTCATATATGGATGTATGTTTGTTATCTTAATATTTTAACTTATTTCAAAATCTAGATATGGTATTATTATCGCTAGATGTCAATCCATTTTCTGTAATAAAATTAATTGAAAAGATCATAACTTAAGACAGAAAACTGCTGTAATATGCAGTTTAAAACTTAATAGGTAGGTTAATACTGATCATTTACACAATCTGTAAATATATTTAAATGGAGAAATGCAAAAAATAAAAATGTGGGAAAAGAAAAAGTTTTCAATAAGTTTCAAAACTGTGACATTCTGCATGTCGAAAAACAGAATCAACAAACTAGACCATTGTTGCTGCTTATTAGTCTTTAAATTATGACTTTTAAATAAGGTAAAATATTTTCTGAACCTTTCCTTGTTAAAGGCAACTGTATTTAAAAATAAAAACACTTTCAGAATAATTTATTTGTTTCTGTATCAGGCCACAAACTTTAAACACTCCGAGTATGTTACATGTCTTTTGTAAAAAATGTTATTTACTTGTATCTAAGGCAGAGACTATTTATGTACAGAATGTTAATGTTAGATCTCTTCTGTGTAAAAAAAGTTAGAATTCCCCATGTAAGCTAGTCTGTTAATAGATGGCAATAGTCCTCCTGTCAGGCCATTTGGTGAAACATTTCATTCATTTCTGTATTTCTTATTAAATAGATTTAATAAATAATAATAAACAATATGTTAATTATTCTTTCAGCTTAATTAAACTTTTATGGCACTTATTAATCAAATATTATGTATTCCTAAGTACAAAACCAATAAATTTTAAACTTTTAGTAACACTGTTAAAAATGTTGTCTTGGCCAATAAATTGTATTTTGATGGCCAAACAGATACATTTTTTTTATCTATAGACACATACTGAATTTGGATTGGCAGTAATTTTTTGAGCAAATGCTCTTCGGTACATAGGTATTATAACAATCTTCCACGGCTTCAAACACTACCATAAAACACAAAACGAGCATCATCTCCCCTCACAGATTCCAGTACCAAGACACATACTGTTACTCCTACATTTTGATGTTATGTTCCAATGCAATTTTCCTATGTTTGGTTTGTCTGCTCATACCTTTGATTGGCATTATCCTTTGATATATTTATAATTTTTTCCTACAGATAAGAAATTACACCTCAATGCAAAATTTCCAGCAAAGAAATTCAATATTCTAACATTTTCAGCCACTATTTCATTGGCCCTCATCAGAAACTGTAGAATGGAAAAACCATTCTATAAATAGAATGCCATTGCATTCTAATGTTAAAAGTTTCAAATACGTTTGAATAACAGCTGTGAGGTATCTTATATGACGTATATTATGAGTCTAGATAGTATTTCCATGAATTTGATATATGAATGGCATCCATGTTGATTCCAATTATCATATCCGACAGTGGAGAGAGCACCTTAGCTTTGAGAAAGATCAACTTTTAACTTGTCTCCTGCAAAAATTTATATGTTAATGACAGCTAGGCTGTTTCTTAAGCAAATCTAATTTTAATGGTCAGTCAAATTGCAAGTTAATCAAACAATACAAAATTTTCTCTCTTGGAAAGACAGAGAGATTGCCTTCCAGGGTACAGTACAATGTTTGTGTTATCATCAAAGCAAATACTGCCAAAATTAATGTCAACCAGCACAAGAATCATCATCTAGGACCATCATGGAAATGGTTAAATTAGTCAAAAAGACTGATATAACCATTCCCCATGAAAAATAAGCATAGAAAAATAAAAAGATCTTTTTATTTTTCTATGCAGAGGATGATTTAATTAATAAAATGCAAACTTTTATGATGTTTGTGCCCTGTTCAATTGCATTTGACCTACATTTCAGTTATGCTCGTAAAAAATGCATTGGAAACAAATCTGTACCATGTGATTGAATAGCACCAGATTTTAACACCGTACATTATGTCATAACACAAGTAATCTGTTGTGTGTATAGATTTGTTGGCAACAGTTCTATAACAAATTCAGTTACTCTGTTAGGCAGTATTTCTTTATGCAGTGCTCGAGAAGCACTTTACAGCAAATACTCTGAAAACCATTTCTAAATGCAGTGCTGCAATGTAGCAAAACATTTCTAAACATTTGCTGCAAGAGGTCGCTGCAGCAAAGAATAAGCAGCTTTTACGTCTGCTACATGGGTAAAGCAAAATGGATCCTTGTGTATATAATACTATATTAGGCTGTGAAAATAAAAAAAGTCGAAGTGACTGTTGAAAAAAATATTAAGAAGGATTAAATTTTATAAAATGACTTATAGTATTTTCTTATTCTTTAAATAACTTTCAATTTTAAATATAATTATTTCTCTCCTATCTCTTTACTTTGCTCACATTTTTGGAAAGAAATGCTCAATTCTTTATATCTTTTTATTTAAATACTGTAGTTCTTTAACTAAAGCACTACTTTTGGCTGTAACCAGAATTAAAGGATAGATCACAGCATCCATGTTTAGCTTGAGCAGAAAGCGTTTCTAAAGTATACTGCAGTGATATATAGTGATAGCTGCTCGTGACATCATTTTCACTACACACTCACTGCATAAAGAGATGCGACCTTATATGTGTTATCAGCCTCATTTTGGAAAGCAGAAGCACATACTGTTACACTACAAAAATAATTAACAACTAGCTTGGACTAGCACAAATACAAATGCAATTTTTGATGATGTAAAATGGTTATTATACAGGAAATTTAAATTGATTGGTAAATGCAAACTAATTTAAGTCAGAACAATATAAAATCATTTTTCTGTTTTTGTATAAAAATGTCAATAATTTATTAGGCAGAAGAAGAACTACAGCAGGAAATGGATACTGACATCAGAGATGCTACGTTTTCAAAACTGGCCAGCACACTGAATAAGTTGATAGAAAAATTAGACAAAGCAGAAAAGGATGTGGCCGTAGCCACGAAGGCATTGGAAAAAGCTAAAAGTGCAATCATTTATGAGAAGAAAAATGGTAAAATTTGTTATTATAAGAAAGTATAATTTTTCATTCCAAATAACAAAATATGTTAACAATTTCTTCCATTGTTAGATGCCACTGACAAAGGTGATTCGGAAACAGAAGTACCAGAGGAAACTGCCACTTTGGATGAAGAGGAAGGCAACGGTGACATTTTAAATTTAGGCATGTACCTTATACTACTGTTTTTATGTAGAGCAATATAGCTTGCAACATTCTAGAATTTTTAAAAACTTACACGTAAAGCCATCCTCTTTTGTGGGGTTTCCAACCTTTTCTCAGAAAGAGCCACACAAGCTGTTAAAGATAAGTCAGGGGCAAGGTACAAAAGGTATAGTCAAAGATTAAGAATTTTATTTTGGTCATAAATCAACATAAAATTTGTAACCACTTTTCAAAAGAATGTCATCAAAATTGGGGTTAAATCTTCTGACACTCAATATTAAAATCTCATTTAGATATTCATTGGACAGTGATAGGCAAAATTAGAAAATATCCCTTATAAAGATTTTAAGGCTTAAAATTCTCTTCTGATGGAGATTTGTAAGAATTTAACAAACTCCCTTCTTTAAATAGGATTTTATAAAAATTATTTGCTGCAAGGTTATTAATTCTAAATGACTTTTAAAAAGTTTAGGCCTATGTGCTTTGAACTAGTTTGAGTATATCAACATCCCAATAGCCTGATGTATTAATAATCAACCAACCAATTTATGCCAAATTATTTTGACTGTTATCCTACAAATATTATAATTAGAAATTCCATGATAAGAACAACTAGAGGTAGTTGTTAGGCTCCATCTGTTGACTAAAGAAGAAACTATAATTTAATTTAAATTTAGAATAGGCTGGAAGAAAATAATAGGCCCAGAGCAGGAGTCAAACTCACAACCTTTGCTTACCATGCAGTGCACTGACCAGTTGAATAGGCCATGGATGTTGAATACATCCCCGGGTAGTCCTTGGATAACTGTTGGATGGTTATATCTAAAGTTTAAATGTGTCTGGAAGGAAAAAGTTGCTCGAAGGTCTAGTGGCATAACTGGTCAGCACACCGCACAGTAAATGGAAGTTGCGGGTTCAACTCCCACTTTGGGCCAATTCTTTTCTTCCAGTTTATTCTAAATTTAAATTAAATTATAGTTTCTTCTTTAGTCAACAGATTGCACCTAACAACTACCTCTAGTTGTTCTTATCATGTAATTTCTAATTATAATATTTGTAGGATAATTTCTGCCCAATTATTTTGGCTATTGGTTGGTTAATTGGTTTGAATGTTGACAATAAAATGAGTTGGTGAAAATGAGCTATGTGGGCCAGATATATATGCTTTTGGGGGCCCGTAAGTCAGACACTCCCCTCTTTATACAGTAGTTACAAGGATGCACTGATACATTTAGCTATTCATACTACAGTTAATGCCTTCTATCTCAAAACCAAAAGTGATTTGTGCACACGTTGCATGCAAGTGGAATGCATCATCAAATCATAAATACATTTGTGGTTGACTACACCTGAAACACTATACAGTAGACCCCCCCTATAACGCTTAGATACGTTCCACATTAATCGAATTTTACATTGTAGGAATGATTAAATACATGAGCCAATCGCAGCCTGATAGGTGTGAAGTTTACGGACTAAGGCTGTTTGAAAGGTTTTCTTCTATAAAATTAACCGATTCTAGACTAATTCCACTCAACATTTCCAAAACACATATAATTTTTTGGGAATAATCTGTATAAACTATGCTATAAACAAAAAATTGTAGGATTACTTACCGAGTGTGCACCGTTCAACTACGCCATTGCTCAAAGCTTGTTTTCGTCGCGGAACAGCACACGAAACGGCGGCCGCGATTTCTGATAATGAATTTTTTGCAGAAAAATAACTTGACTTTTAATATACTAGACATCATTAATATAAATAATTTTTATGGCCGTTGAATAAGAAATGTTTCTTTCACAAGAAATGTATAAAATTACAGTACTGTATTAGACTTACAATACCTAATTTACATACTGTACAGACGATAATAAATTCAACTTACTAGCCTAAACTCTCCGTAGCGTGGCGCCAGGCGGCGGAAAGCATATATATAATTATAATAAAGTTACAATAAATTAAGTTAATATATAATTATATACAGTACCTAATTTATATATAATACTGTACAGACGATAGCAAACTCAATTTAGCTGCTCCGTAGCATGGCACAGGGCGGAGGAAAATAGTTCGGCTGCTCATCCACTATTGGTCCAGATTCTATCAATCTTGTCGTGACACGAGTCGGCGACGACGACATTTTAGGAGTTCCTTTATACGAATATTGCTACAATTTTTTCACTACGTTATAGGAATTTCCGTTATAGGAACCCACAGGTTCCTGTGGGTTCCTATAACGGGAGGGTCGACTGTTATAGGGGAGGGTCGACTGTACTTATTGAAATCAAAATCATGTATAAACACAATGTTTGTGGCACGGATGCCACAAACATTGTGTTCATACATGATTTTGATTTCCATAAGTATAGTGTTACAGGTGTAGTCTAACCACAAAATATTGTAAGACAATTCGTGTATAAATAGTAATTATGGCATTCTTGGAAATTGGCGCACTTGCTCTGCTTGTGTACAAAAACTTCCATTCATGCCATAATCACCTATATTATAAACTAATTGCATAATATACTATTATCAGCTTATATTGTTCATGTTTTCAAAAATGTTTTAATGGAGATTTATCAGTATAACCAAATATTTTGTCAAATTCTCATCTTTTCTACTCTGGTTGTTATTGATGGGAGTCGCCATCATTGTTTGCACGAAACAAAGCCATATACAGTTGAGTCCGCATAAGTCAATACCCCAAGGGAAGTGGAAATGTGCCGAGTTATCTGATATGACGACTAAAATGAAGTTGAAAAAAACCACAAAACTACCATTAAGAAAATACAGTAGTGCTTTATAGAATACATGCAATGTATCTCTCTGACCATCCATCACTGGCACTAAAGTTGGTTTCTACTCCAAGTACCTCAGCAATTTCCATTGATTTTTGTTTCAGTATTGGCACCAAAACAGGAAGATTCAATGAATGAATTAGCTTTAGCCAGCATACCAGAGCATCTTTGACATCTTTGTACGGTAACTTTCTCTGGCATTTTCAAGAAGCCACAACGAAGACCCAAGAAAAAGTTTCTTAATTTTCTCATTTTTGTTCAGAATTCCCACCAATGTTGTTCTTGGAAGGTTTTCTTGTTTTGCAAATTCCGCTTGCAAAGTTTTATTACATTCAAATTCAGATACAAGTTTGTAATTTTTCTTCAGTGTAAGCATTGTTAGGTTTCAGATACTCATTTCTAACAGAAATGTGAAACACTTACTGCAAATAACACGTGAATGAAAGGTGAGAAAATGCAAAATCAGATTCTGCTGTGATGTTTATATAGATTGTATATTTTCTTTTTGTTTATCTGTTATTATTTTATACATAAAAATACATAAAATGTTAAGGTATTTTTATTAATATGGGGTGTTTCACAGCCTCTCCACAAAGTTTTTTTTTGAAAATTCGAATTTTTTAATGAAATTTTCAGCAAAGATAGAAGATGAAAAAGGAAATTAATGCAAGATATTTTTGAAATGTCTGCCCTCTGTCAAGATGCAGTAGTGCAGTCTCTCTTGGAAATTAGCAATCACATTACTACAGGTCTGATCTGAGATGCCCTTCATGATGCTCTTGATGCTTTCTCTCATCTGACTGAGGGTGGTAGTGTTATTCTTGAACATCTGATCCTTCATGTTCCACAAAGAAAGAAGTCTAGTGGACTCAAATCAGGGCTGTAAGGTGGTCAGGTAAGGCCACATTTGAATGTCTCTGGATAGCTTCGATAACATGATCACCATAATGGGAATTAAGGAGTTCCAGGTTCTCATAAGTCATATGGGGTGGGGCTACATCCTGCTGGAACCAGCAATCATCAGTCCAATTTGCCAAAAATTACGGAACAATCAAATGTTTTTAAGCAACATGCTTTTGTAATAGAAGCAATTCCTTTGTGCTCAAAGCGCCACCTACAAAAAATTTAGGCTGAAAACCGCACGTTTCAAAAGTTATTGAAAAAAAACTTTGTGGAGAGGCTGTGAAACACCCTATACTTATATTGTATATTAATTAATAAATAAGTCGACACCCCTCCTGAAAAAAATGAGTTCACATTGCACAGTAAGCTGTGTGGTGCAAACTCATTTTTTTCAGGAGGGGAGTTGACTTATCAGACGTATAAACGAGTGTGTGACAGAAAAAGTATGTCGATTAATCCAGTGGTGACTAGTTAAACGGTATCGAGTAAACCAGAATTTTTTAACATTAATGCCTATGTAAGTTGGCAGGAACCACAGAAAACTGATTACCTAACTGACAGTGTCTAATTATACTTATGATGACTTATGTGGACTTGACTATATCATTTAGTTGTAATATGGAAATGCTATCCTTTCGATTTGAGGAATTTTCCATTATAAAATTTCAATAATTGAAAACTATGCTGGAAATGATTTAAAAAATGTATTTAATTTGAGCTTATTTTCTTGGTTTATGCTTGAAATAAACATGGGACTACTATTTACATGCTGTGCAGTAACAATACATTAAAGTGGCGGTAGGTAAAATACCACACAAGTGCTGAGCATTTTTGGTTTCAAGAAAGCAGGCAACCACTATAGTAACACTATTACTTTTTGGATTACAGAAGTGATTTCAGGAGTATTCCTTACTCCTGAGGAGAAATGATTTCAGGAGTAAGGAATACTCCTGAAATCATTTCATTCCAACATTTGAATTGGAGACAAACTTTTACTTGAGTTTAAATGCAGTGCTCACTGCATTTAAACTCAATTAAAAATTCAATGTGGTTTGCCATTAAGATTTCTGTACTCACAGGACAGTTTAGGTTTGCATCTCTGAGATTTTAAGAAGGTATTTTATTTTTACTTTTTAAAATATGCCTATTATAAATTGATTTTACCCCATCAGAGGACAACGAAGGAAGCAAGGAAGAATCAGCCACTGACGACGGCAGACTGAGGGTGCACATACGCAGACTGGGCCAGGGAAAACAGGGAAAAGGAAAACTACAGCTGTTGCGTCATCATGGCTTAGAAGGAAAACAGAAGGAGAAACTAGAGAAGGCAGTTAAAGAGAAACTGGAACAAGCAGGTCTGGATACAAATGGTAAAATTGTAGTGTGAGACTCTTGTTTTTTCATAATTGCGTTTCATCTGATTTTAAGCATTTAGTCTTCCATTTGTTCTTATTTGGCAGACGGAATAATATTTTTGGTCTTTGATTTAAATGCACTGGTGGTTGGGATGATAGAAATTTCTCACATTAAACCGGTCGTGGAAAGTGAAAGTGGCCCAAGTCGCTTTTCGTGTATATTGAGAAATTTAGACCCAAAGCCAAGTAGCAATTTAAAAATTATTGCAGGCAGTGCTTTTACCCACAATGCTTTTATCCACAAGTAAGTAATGCAAATATGCCTATTCTTTGCACCCAATATGTAACTAATGCCATCAGGAATGAAAACTGGATGGCAACATACTCTTTTGGAAAAACCAGTCGACACCACTTTCACTTTCAACGATCAAAATAAGAGTTTTGTGGTATATTTACAAACTTCTTTGATGTGTTTTGAAGGTAGACGAATAGAAGTTAAGATCATCACCGCCGGATATTACGATGATGAAGAGGGTAAAGACTTTCATGTGCTGTCAGATGAAGAAACTCAGCAGTTCCAGAGCATGATCCTGACCCTGCTGGTAATCACTTTGTACTTTCCTAAATCAACATTCAAAACCTAGTACAAACACTAAGTTCTTGGTGGTTTGGATTAGATTCTCACCCCAGACCTAATGCCATACTACGTTTGTTACACACTTGGTGGTGTACGGGCACAGTTAACATTTACACAGATAAAATGTTTCAATCCTGCAGTTTAAATCACATTCAAATACGATGGGTAGAGTGTTGACGATAGACATGCATCTCAGACCTGGCCGGTACCAAACCAGGACGTTACGGCATTGCGTGTCAATTCTGCAGTTTATTTTCAATTTTTATTGGAAATTTTTGAGGGATTTTCTTCCATAGCATTTTGCATCTTATGTAGGGTATTACGACACCAGTTTGCTGTATTTATGACCAGGGAACGACTTTTATTTTTAACTCTCTGTCCTGCAGGCACTAAGAGGGTGTCTTTTAGCAAGCCTGCGGCTAGGTGGCCAGGAACAGGGCCCAATCCGGTTCTCCTGGAACAGTAAGCTGCCATCGCTGGGTAGAGGACAGGACTAATTACTGCCAAAATTTGGCAAGCAGGTTAAGAAATCTTTCAGGAGTTTCTCTCCCAATGGCGCCATCAGAAAATACACAAAAACAAACATTTACTCTGGAGTAATAGCGAGGCAAGTAGGGAAATGTGCTGCATACGTTTTTACAAAAATAGAGTTGGACATGGAAATCTGTGTTTATGTCACCAGATGCACCTGGTGGAGATTGTCCAACCACATGCCATGTTACTTGGCATGGAGATAACTCAAAAGTTTCAAAAGATACCACATTTGTCGAAAAATTACATCATCTCAGGACAACAACGCACCACCTAATCACACGATGACATCCTGAAAGTGATCAAAAGTACATCGTTTCTCTGCTTCTGTTACCCGTAGCCATCCAACAGTACTGCATGCGATATTAACTCCCTATTATATCGGAACCTATGGTATTTAATTCAGCCAAATTTGACAGGTGGCTGCACGGCTACAAATTCCCAGTAACACTGGCCGTATGTTGCCACATTAAAAAAAAATGGGGCTTTTTCCCTTTTTCTCCAAACTACAACGAATGCACCCTTCTGGTTTTTTTTTTTTTATTTACGAGACAATGGCACAATTTAATGTAAACGCCCAACTTTACCTTATCATGGAATGTGGAGATTTTCACACAATTTCCAGAGGACCCCATGATGACTTTTTAGCTTTAGCATTTCAGGGGGGACTTTGGGCGGGGGCCAAGCGTTATAATTTTTCGTGTGGAAACCTTAAACTGGGAGATGGTCCAAATGCAGGAAAGGGATTATCTTCCTCCTGCTCAGGAAGCCCACCCCTCCACCCCAGAAGTGGTAGATTTTTTTATACTTGCGGGGGCAGGGGGGCTGGTGGCAGTTTAAGAGTGTGAAAGTATTTATGGCAGAATCTTTTCAGACGGGCAACCAGGAAGCAGTGCAAGAAATGGAAAGACAGAGAAGAATGGAAAAGAACTATCACTTTGTGTGGGGAGAAAATGGACGAGAAAACGAGGAGGAAGAATGAGAACGCTATACATCATTTCCCACTGTACATTTTGTAAATATTTTGGGCCAATTAGACCACTCATTTTCACATGTGCATAATTTAACTGGAAAAAAAGAGAATTGTCTAGAATAAAGATTACCAAAACTTAAACTCTGTCTCTCTCTTTCTCTCCATATGGATCTCTGGAAAATAAAATATTTGCTTAACCACTCAGCAGTGACTGATGGATATATCCGTCAAGGGCGATTGTGTGGCACTGGTGAATGATGGATATATATCAGTAATCATAGACCTGGTAGTTTTTGGCTACCGGGTCTATGATTACTGACTGGAATAATCAAAATTGACCTGGCAATGGATAGTGTGCCTATGTACATCCAACTTTAATTGACAGCATACCATACTAAAGAGTACAAAGACCAACTGAGAATATGTCATAACTATGGTGGTCTTGGTCATACTAAACAACTCTGCAGAAGCAAAGCTAGTTGTGTCATCTGTGCTGGTTGTGCAATCTGTGCATGTCCTGCCTCACTGTTAACTGTTCTGGAAATTATGTATACACTTCCCCCAACTGTCTGACTTACCACTTCAAACAACCAATTATCTGTTATCAAAAACGATATAACTACTCCAGACAAGCAGCACAAACCCATACTATAAACACTCATAAATCACAACCTATGTTCAGTGAAATGGTACAACAGAATGGCCGAAAACAAGACAGTCTACGACCAAACCACCAACCAAACAATAACCTGCAGATAGACCACACTGATACTCTATCCCAGCTTACCACCATCCAAACTGCTATCACTAAACAAAATCAAATCCTCTACTACGTGATCAATATACTTGAAGATCTTATGAAGGATGCCATGTATGCTCCAAGTGCCCAACACAGGCTAGAAAAATGCTCAAACCTCCCTTCCCATGCTTCTTGCAAGTGCAAAAACATCTTCCTCAGACAATACTGCTAGTGATACACCCAGCAAGACTGTTACTCACAAACTACTAGCACCTCTGCCCAACAAAACATACGTATCAATCAGGAAACCCACTTACCATGAAATGAAGAGAAAGAAAATTCAAACAAATTAAAAGACAAAGTGTCCACAAAGGAAAAAATCCAAAACTAAACCTAACAAGCTAGAACCCAACCAATACAGCTTGTCCAATACCCTCAATTCTCCACATCATCATTAACTGCCCACACCACTCAAAAATTCCATCCAAACAAATATGGAACTACTACAATAAAATGCTACTAATCTCGGGAACAAGATCACTGAAATCAAAACAGAGGGAACTTGGAAAAACTGATGTCATCGCCATTTAGGAACCCTGGTTACAACCCACACACACAATAGACTTACCTGGTTATATTGCTTACTACACACACTACCAAAGCAAAGGTGGTGGTCTCATAACTTACATCAAAAACAGCATCCTGTGCATACTTGTTAATACTAAACAGCCCATCCTTCCTGGCAATCCTGAATGGATCATCATAACTATCTACATGCCTACCCTAATCTGTATCATAAACTTCTGCTTTCTGTCCCAAACCTCTGCCAGCAACATAACCCATCCTGACTACATATTCACACACACAGCCCACAACCCCTCCATCATATGTGTGGACTTCAATGTCCACCATGATGTGGGGCAACAATACTATGGATACTAGAGGCTGCAGAATCTCTCACCTGATTACTTTCTCCATTATTACTTAATGATGTCTAATCCATCTACTACAATTTCAACAACAACACAGCAATTGATCTGACCTGTGCTTCAGACTCCATTGCCACACATACATACTGGACACCCCTGCTCTTCAGTCATGGTAGTAGGTACCACAAGATTGACATTGACATCCCCAATATTAATGGTAGGCACAACACCTCCAATCCATCTCCCACTAACACCACAAAGCCCACAAATTCCAAAACATTCAATCATGGATTGTGCACAACTGGACTTATGATGATCTCATTATTCAGTACAAACTCTACTCAGCAACTCACCACACCACAAACTTTCACAAAAATCAAACTACCCCCGCCATGGTGGAACAGTGAGTGCAGGAATAAACTTGCCCACAAATGCCACACATACTATAAATTCATCAAACATATCAATGCAGAGAACTGGGATCACATACAAACATGCTAAAACCAAGTTACAACATACAATCTTAGAAAGCAAGTGTGACTACTGGAAATACCCCCACTATAAAAATAGTAACTGGAAAATTCTCCATCAGCTTTGCAAAACTGACATCACCCCTAAGGACCATCTCATTCTTAAAATCAACAGCAACACCATTACAGATCCCTACACCCAACTGGAAGCTTTTGTTTACTATTTTACCCCTCACTCCACTGAGATCACCATAGACATACACTCGCCACATGCTCAGACCAATTACAAGAAACCTTACATGGTAAAGGAGTTAAATGCAGCCATCAAAAATGTGAGAAATACCACCCCTGGCACAGACAGCATACCCATGCCTGCTCTCCATAACTTTAATCAGCAAATCAAATATCACCTTCTGACTTATCCTTAATCATATCTGGACCACTGGCAAAATACTGATTACTATGAAAAAACCCCAAAAAAGATCCAACATCATCAACCATTGCCCCATCATCCTTGCGTCAACTATCTCAGAAGCCCTAGAGAGAATGATCCTTCAACATTGGACTCACTTAGCCACTGCCAACAACTGGTTTAACCCTAAACATCTAGGTGGCATTCCTGGTAAAGATACTAGGGACCTTACCCACCTAAAGACTTGCATTCTAACCCTCCACAATAATGCTTTACTATCATCACTCTTGATATTTGTCACGCCTATGACTCTGTCAAACATCACCATCTCCTCTGCAAAGCTATCCAGAAAGGTCTTAAAGGAAACTCCTCTGGCTTCAGGATTTTCTCACAAACAGACTCGTTATCGTCAAATAGAGGGGCCACATGGCCACCGAACACACCTTTTGTAAAGGTATCTGACAAGGCAGTGTCATCTCATCATTCATATTTGAAATATTCATGCACAACGTTTTCCTACTCAAAAATCCACACACTCATCTACATTTATGCTGACGAAATCACAGCAGTCATTCACGCAAATACCCTTAGTGATTTTCACATACTAACCACTTTCTCTAATCCTTCACCGACTGGGCCGACCACAATGAAATTACCTGTCAACTCTAGAAATGAGCCATCTTCCCATTCCCTATAATTCCCAGTATACTCAGAACCACACTACACGGCCAAACCCTTCCAGTCATCCGCAAAATCAAAATTCTCAAGATATACGCCACTACCACCTTAATGTGGACTGACAACATACATTACCTCCGCAACAAATGTAAACGTCTTCTAAATATCTTCAAAATTTTTTGCAATAAGAAACACGATGGCTCTCCCAAAGATTTCATTACAATAGCTGCAGCATCATTGACAGTGTCATATCCTACACAATTTCTAGTATTGCCCCCTCACTACCACCCAAATCAAAGCCCTCGACTCCATCCAGGTTCAATATCTCAAATTATGTGTGGGTTTTCCTTTCACTACCAACAATATCGTTACCCTCTGTACAGCCAGCAGAACTACAATCACGCTCTGCTTTAAAAAAAATCATTAAACAGTACAGCAATTACCTCAAAAAAGCAAATTCCGACCGAGATATTACAATGCATACACAATGCCACCGACGCCATCCTTGTTAAAATCACTTTAATACAATTGACCCGTAACTGGAACTTTTGCCATAATATCCCCATCCACCCAGACAGACTACACCTTCATCGCGAGCTCCTTCACACGCATCATCACATACCCATCAATGATTGCGATTTTCAACACCACAAAACCCAGCAACAGCATCCGGTATCATTCGTCTACCCGTCTTGACCATCACACCGATCTTACTATCCCGGCCCACCGACGGTTCCAAAAATCAACACCGTCACCGTCACTTATATCGACAACACCCACGACGTTACGGCTCACTACATGCTCCATCCCTACTCCATCATTTTCACTGCCGAGGGCTATGCCATCTTGCAGGCCATCACTTACACTACCGATTCTAAGTCCATACTCTCTGCCTTAAATAACTATAACGACAAATCCCCTACTATCATCCGCAGCATCCATAATAAACTCCACATTCAATTATAGCAACGACCAACACATACACTGTCCGGACTCCTGCCCACATCGACATCGACGAGAAAGTGGACGCCCCGGCGAAAAGCAACCCTCCGAACACAGTCAACACCAACTTCATAACTCCCGAAGATCTCCTCATTATTAATTCCGATCACCAACGTAACACGGAAGACATCTGGCTTCACTACCTTCACCACATTAACTATCCTTGGCTTAACGTCATCCCACATACTAGCATACCTACCATTCCCGATCGCCGTATCAACGTTAGTACGTTGATACGGCGATCGGGAACCGCACCATATCTAACTCTACTCACTAACCACTTCCTTCACGCCCAGAAAATCGAAAGTAATGATAAGTGCGGTTACTGCCCTGATCTGATCGACACAACCACACCATGTCGATAAGTGTACTAAATTCAGCGTTGTCTGGAACAAAATTCTTCGCGCTCACCCAATGGACAAACAAAACATGGCCAAAATTACCGAATGCCTTTAACACCTCTCACTACCTGTCGGGAGACCCCAGTCACACTTCAAATACAAAAACTGTACTAATACTAGACGAGAGCGTTGTTAGCGACCTCTAAACACATCCAGGGGACGCAAAAGCATACCAGCTAGCGTTCAACTGTCTGTCGACGAAAATAATTTTCCGCTTAAAATAAATTCGACTATTTTGCACGATTGCCGGATGACCTTTTATTGCATTTTATTAAAGATTTAACAGATTAATAATACAGTAGAGCGTCGTTTATCCGAATCAATTGGGGACTGGGGTGGTTCGGATAACGAATCATGTACGAAAAAATATATTAATTTATCCCATGTTGAAATTTCTCTCCGTTGCGTGTCGCTTCGCGTTGAATTTTCGTCGATGTTAAGCCTAACGAAGACTATTGTATCGTTAAAAATTATTTTTTTATTTTGTACAAGCAAAATAAATTTATTGAA